CTTTTCGAAAATATTTAATTTAATTTGATATTTAAGAAAAAAATAAGCAAGCTAAGTATGTTAGAAACAACAAATGAAGTTTGCTGAAACATTTCTATGATAATATTGTTACAACTTTTTTAATTTTTCTTTCCATCTTTTTAAATGCATATTTCCATTTTTTCTAGACATTTACATTTTTATCTCCTTTTCTTTACCTTTTAAATATCTTCCTACTTATCATTACAACTGACAACATTTCCTTGATAATCAATTTGAATTTTACACAGTATGTAATTTGAATGTTTGCAGGAAGAAATGCATTTGATGAGAGATGTGACAGTGCTGTCATTTTTATGTGACAGTGCTATCAAATGCATCATTTTAATAAATGCTGACATCATTTCTTGTTAATCAATTTAAATTTTACATAATATGTAATTTGAGTGTTTGCAAGAAGAAATGCATTTGAAGAGATGTAACAGTGTTATCATAATTATTTAATAAGTATCTTTTCAGTTCTGCAAAAAGAAAAAAAAATTACATGAACCTGACTTAGTTTTCGTCCATACCCATCTACTTGTTACGTTTATTGAATGAACTTTCTAATCCTGGATAGTGATAATTCACAAAGTGTTGCTGAAATTTGATAGTGTGAGAAGTACTTGGTTGGATGACATAGGCTTTATTAATTAAATGAGCATATGGTTAAATAATATTCCATTGTTTGACAATTATGAATCTCGTCAACTCCTTTATTGCTCAATCGATAAGTTCGTTTAAAGTCGGCTTAGATAATGGAGAATTAACCGTGCTAATAAAATAAACTGCATAGTAGATTCATTTTCAAGCATTATATCTTTTTCTTATTTACAAATGGTCTTTAAATATATGCTTTTAAAGACTATTTGTAATTGATCTTTATTGATCAATCGATAAGTTCATTTCAGGGATTATACCTTTTTGTTAATCTCTCTAAATATAAATAATTATAACTAATTAACATTCAGGCTATAGTTTACACTTTTCACCTTTTCTTTTAAAAAATTAAGTTTGGTTTAAAAACAAACGGATTGATTAACAAATAATAGTGACTGAGGCTTAATTTCCTGATGCAATAGCTTGTAGAGGCCTTGGCGCAATATGTGCTATTACGAATATGCATCAAACATTTACTCAATTCCAACACCCTGGAAATATCATTCATTAAGACTTCATTGAGAAGTAGGTCTTAAATATTTGCATCTTTTAACTATGCCATAACTGATGAACGAATCATCGCTATTATATGAATCACACGCTGTTATCAATGATCCTTTTTTTTAAGGTGATAATTCGAATTTATTTCACAAGTAAAGGAAAGTGTTTTTTTTTTTTATGCGAAACAAACGTAAATTGTAGATCATCTTGAAATGTGAAGTGTAAGAGGCAGCTAAGTATTAGCTATTACTTGTCTTTGTCGAAGAGTAATTCATAGCCAATCATTCAATATTTTTATTCCGTTTTAAATTCTAAACAATTTATATACTTAAAATATCAATATTTTGACTAATAAAGCTAATAAAAGGTAGTAATTCTTGCCATAAAAAAGTGTAAATACAAGATTTCTCGTTTAAAACCAATCCTTAGACAGAAAATGAGCAAATTTGTTGAATATAAGCGGCAGAAATTTGTTTATCAAACATTTGCATGATTCGTTGCTCGAATTTTGCTAATTTATTCGAGTTACTTAAACTTCTTCCCTTCTTTCTCGCCATAGATTGACTGCTAGGATTAAAAAAAAGAAAAAAATGCACTAGTTAGAATAAATTTCCCTACTTTATCTTAGTTATTTCCCTTCGCACTACTTCCACTTCAGTACCATTCGTAGTCACAAAGATTTCCTAAAACAATTCAGTTTTAGGTTGAAAACATTGGCAGAAGCTATGTTTATATGTTAAAAATTAGGATTGTTTATTACGTGAGCTGATAAATTGGTAAATCAGTGCGAATGGAATCTAATATGATAAATGATTACGAATTAGTGTAGATAGAAAATTTCTTTTCAATCTGATTTCTTTATGGATTGAGTGCAAACGATTAACTGCAATTAAATGAACTGGCACAAACTGGACTTTAAAGGAAGTGAAAAATCGCAAAAGAGGAAGTGAAAAATAAGCTTCATCCTCGTTCAGCAAGCAGATTTCAAATCACTGTTTATTTGTGCAATGCTATTTCCCATTGCATTTATGAATTTCTCAATTGAAGCTTGTTTTTGAAGGCTTGTAAAATTAATAGCAACTAAATTTCAAAATATTAGTTTAAAATATCATCCCATTATTATGACTATATAATTCATCAGTTATATGTTATTACAGAGTGATTGTCTTACTCCTTTACTTTTGCACAATATTATCATTGTTATTTTAAATAGATTCATGGAATAAGTGAGTTTGATTACATCATTGTCATGAATTTAATCGGAAGTAGTTAAATGAGATTGAATTTGATAATTCTGTCCTCCCAAATATTCTCCAGAAATCTACAGATTTCATTTTTATTCTGCATCTATCCTCTAATATTTCTTATTGTGTGATTTAGAGAAAAAAAAACCAATTTATTTTTGCATTATTTAGTTTTTCCCAAACATTTGAAGGATTTTGAATTGAAAGCCAATTAAAATTCCGATGAAATTCCCATATATCTCAAAGCAAAAGGAGTATAAGCCTATTATGAAGTAGAATATTCTATCATCACAATAATTTATCAATTTTAAAATGAAATAGCTAAACATTTGTTCGGAGCAGGTAAGTAACCAAAGGAGGAATGATGAAGGCACGAATTCATTACATTAATAATTAATAATTATAGTTTTAAAAAATTTTCAGTCTTTTCCATTCAATAGTATATTTCTTTTGTGAGCTCTAATTAAACAACTGGGCAAATGAGTTGCAATTTGATTATAGTAAAACTTATTGAATAATTGGAACATATTTCGCCTGATAAAGACAGTTTGGTACTTTACTTTTTTTTCTTTTTTTTGTTGCTTATATTCTTTCTTCATTCCTCCGATAAATATATAGTTTTGAGCAAAAAAAAAGTAGATTTTTGCTAGAAAGCACCAAAGATTCTACGCATGTCAGATTGTTTTGAGGGGATTAGTGACTTTGAGACCCTTATCAATATCCGATGATATATTAGATGAATCGAATCTATCTGAGGTAAATTTGACTAACATATCAGATAAGCGTTTGCTCGAATTTGCATATAATCTGGTTAGATAACGCGTTGATTCCTTTCAGCGTAAAAATGCGTGAAAAACATATTTGCATATGAAATGGGAAGTGATGAAATTTTAGTCTCACGGTCTTACATGTCCCTAACAGTTATCATCACATGGAAAGGTATTGTGTTTCTGCGAGTAATACTACCTTAAATGTTATAATCTAATTATCAGCACGTTAAGAAAGTGCGTTAATCATAAATGCTACAGTTGTGTGTGTGTTAATGGTCTAAACATAATTTAGGTTATGGGAAACTTTTCAGAGAATAATCAGTCCAGTTAAGTGATAACTGCACATAGTTTGTATTAATCTAAATAATGAAGAAAGACGTGAAAGTTAAGTTATGAAAAGACAAAAAAAAAGACATAAAATGCGGCGAATAAATTTGATTACTTCTGTTATTAATAAAATTTTTGCTTTTGTAATTTGTTTTCGATTATGCATCGAAAACAAATTTAAATTTTTTTTATTGACAAGCATTAATAGCATCGGCTTGAAATGGCATATTTGTTAGAAAATAATTGATTTGCTTTTTGATGTTTTATTTAAAAAAAATCATTATTTTTAGGGGATTTTTTTGTTTTTTATTTTTTATTCTCAGAAGTTGCATCGAAATCATTTTAGCTTCTTCTTATTTATTGCATACTACTTTTCCTCATGCTATTTCATTTGACTTACTTTACTATTTGCTTTTCCCATTTATATGCTTTTAAGGAAGTAATTAGTTCAACTTCAGAATTCAATCTACAGCATAAACTGCACATCATTGTCATGTTAAATGGGACATTTTACTACTTCAAGTTCTCCCGCACTATCAGTTATTATATACGCAATGGGACGGAGATGATGTAATTGATTGTGATGTAAACTATTGATTTATTGAAATTGAATTTTTCAGAAAAGTTTTGAAAAAGAGCTCGAAAAACACTGCTGTCATATTGCCTTCATTGTAAACATATGAAAGAAGCATCAACAAAGGAACATCGAGTAAGCGTTATTAGAAAAATCAAACAATGCTTTTGCATTATGTTTGTTCATTTTCGTTTTTGGATAAGAAGAAATGTTTAAAACCATAAAAAAAGAAACGATAAATTATAAATTTACAACTTAGTAATCTTTTTTTTTTACTTATATTTAGAATTTCATTTTTAATATCACTTATATTCATTTTTTTTCACTCTTTCAACAATCCGCCATTTATATATATCTATACCCCACTAATAATCTGCTTCCTTTCCTTCATTACTTGCTTCATTGAATTTGCTTAACTCAACTTAACTTTGCCTTGTGAGTACAAAATTGTGGAAAAATTAAATGAGGAAAGTGTGAACAAAATAGCTATTTGCATTATTTTGGGCTCCTCCTCAGTCTTTTGGGAGAATAAGTGGGCATTGCCTTCTGTTCCTCTTTTAGTTCGCAAAATTTTCACGAATATATTCTGTTGACAGAAGCCTGGTAAGTCCTTCTGTTCTTTAGTCTAATCATTATAATTCAAATTTGGCAATTTGTAATCAAAGTTCTCGCGAACATACTCACCTCACTGGTCAAGGCATTAATTATGCATGGGAAATTTATGCTTTGTATTTTATCAATCAAGATAAATAGTTCAGAAGAAAAATGAAGCTAAGAGAGTTACTTGTAGATGGAAGATCAAAAATGAATTGTATTGCAAGTTTAGTGAATCGTAGACATTATTCTTCGCCATAATATATGACAAATAATATGGAACTATTTCAGTTGTTCTGACCTCTTTTTTTCCTACTGATTCCTTAATTGGTCATTCCATAAATGACCAATTACTTTCCGGAAGATGAAATTTAGGGCTATAAACAGTTCACATTTTGCAATCTTTTTCATGTTTTCCTTTTTTCTTTGCATATTATCATCCCGACAAGTTTGACCGTCTGCAACAATAATATACTTAGAATTAATCTTTCATCCAACTTTATCTAATGCTGTTTTATCCATGATCCGAAACCTTTTCTCGTATGTTGCGTAAAACCAGCTTCCAGGAAAATTAGATCAAATGACCATTGTTCTTTCTCAGATGTTAATGTCAAATAACATTTTTTATGCATGTCATATCTTACCACTTATCTGAGAATTAACAATTGTAACAACAATCAATAAAAATGTTAAGCTTTTAGCCAGTTAAGTTAAATATCCGTTATGCAATCAATGTGATAATGAAATAAGCACCTGAATATAAAATTTTATAAAATCATTCGAAAATTTTTAATTTTTGCAGTTTTTATTCACATAATACATTGCTGCATATTTGATATCGCTTATACCTGACTGATATGCGACACCTATCCTCCCAATGATACTCTCATTCAGTGATTTCGATTCTGCATGGTATCTATCCTCTAGATGAGTAACATATAAATCAGTTGAATTGGTTTTCCTGAAATTAACTTTTATCTGACAATTTACTGCTTACTATCAATTGTTACGGTTGTTGTAGGTTTCTTTGCTTATATAATCATATTTGAATTTATCTTACTTTCATATACTTAACTGTTGATTTATTCCCAAAATAAATCATTCCTTTGATAAAAAATGTTGACAGAGTAATTATAATTTAAGACATTGGCCAAATCTTTAAAATAACCATCTAGACAGTTGTTTAATTTGCACTTGAAGCAAGCAATACTACGACTTGTTCTTATTCATAATGCTAAAACAACGACAAATGCGATACACAAGATAAATTCATAAATTCATAAGGTATTCTTGGAAAGTGTTTCGACAAATTCGAGATTTAGAGTTAAATTTTTTTTGACTTCGTGATAAACAGAATATGTTGTAATCACATCTGAGAAAATGTTACTGAAAAAATGACAAATCGAAATGTCTTTTATTGTTTGGTCATTCATGACGCTTTTTGCTCATCTATCAGAATTTTCTTCTGGACCAACAACTTGCTTGTTTGATAGGCTTACTAATACGATTGGGCTAGTTTTGTGCAAAGGAAATTGGAAGTAATTGGATAAGAAATATGATTCTTTTCCTTTTAACTCATTGATACTTTGTGAACCATTCTTTTTCCAATTCAGCATATTTCATGCAAGCATTATTTCAGTGTTAAAAGTAATTTCAAGTATTATAGATGTCTATTTTGGATGTTAAATAATAAATGAAATCACTCAACAAAATGGAATAATTGTGCAAAAACTGTTTAACAGCGTTCAATGAGTTCAACTCCATTGTTACCATTTCCGCTTCTTTCTAATTTTATTTAATGGTAACTCTTTCGAAAGTTTTTTAGTACATACAATTGTTGAACAAAAAAAGGAAAAAAAGCGAACGCATTGATAAAGACAAAGTGACGAAATCACGGGAAGGAGAAATTGCAGAGTTCAAAGAAGACATATTTGGTAATGTGAACCATCCCGCTGATAATTATTGTACGCAATGAAAAATGCAAAATGTAATATTGTATCAGATGCGTTGAAAAATTTCGAATCCATTGGAGACTGTACAAAATATACGATTTTCTTTTAATTTTAGGAAAGTTTGCAAAGTTTTAGGAAAGCAAAATTCCTGTTTTCGTTATTTTTTGATCGTTAATATTCAATTTCATTTAATTTATTCTTTTTTTTTAATGAAGATGGGCCTAAGGTTAAGGTTATTACTTTTGATACCTATGTATGGTTGTCAGTTCACTTTTTCGTGTCATCGATAAATTTGTTTTCCTTATAATCTAATAAGCTGGGAAAAAAATTTTTCAGTCATCTATTTAATTGATGGAATATTCCCACAAGTGGAACATAAAGGTATCTGAAATGTTCTCTAAATTGAAATATGAATCACTTTCTTTTTTCCTTCTTTCATCGATCAGGTAGGCAGACATCAATTCTTTGAAAGATATAAATTTTATGAAAGTTAATACATTGCATTCATGAAAATATTTGTCTTTTCGTATTAAAAAAGAAAAAAAAACCTTTAATTTTATATTCTCAACGTTTGGCATTTTCATGATGTATGCAAAAAGCGCCTAGATATTTCATATTATTTGAACAAATCGAAATTATATAAAACAGTAACAACACTTTCGATTGTTATTTTTTTCACAAGTTAACTAATTTTGCTTCTGAACTGCTTGTACAAATAAATTATCCAATTAATTTTCTTCACTTCTAGTTTTTTGTAATTTCATTTTGGTTAGTTTAAATTAGCCTTACGTATGAAGTCTTTCTCTGTAAGAACCTTTTCTCGTTGCTGCCAACTTCTTTTACTTCCCTACCTGTCTCTCATTAGTGTCTTCTAGGACGTTCTTCTTTAATGTCGCTATGCTAAGAAATGAATTATTGCAGAGAAATCGCTATACAATTAATGAATTAATTTTCACTGATTGAAGCATGATTCCTTTTGAGTTAAGGGGAATTTTAAAATGATAACCTATTTTGAAAACACATATTAAAATAGCATTTTACGAGATTTGAGACGTATAATTACTTTATCATATCATTTTATCATCACTAAGTCATCAGATTATAGTTGACAACGGATCAGGCCATTTCTGTGCTTATCAAAAGAATTAAAGTGCCAATCTTTTGATATTCTTCTGACCGTTTTTACATAATATGCTTGTGTCTTTCCGTATCGATAACCCGTAAAACATAACAGTAGTTTTTAGGCTTGCTCGAACTTCCGGAATATTTTTTAGCTCTACCCTAACTGCTACTATTCATGAATATGAATTAGAATGAAAGTAAAGGTTAGCATGATGTTTGTTTGCTTCCAATATCATTTACAAGTATGGAATGTTTGCACCTTTTGCATTTCAATGTGCGTGTTTCTGAGAGTGTGCGAAACATTTTAATGATAAATTTATTTTTTTCATTGTTAAGTAAATGGAGATGATAGATAGCAGAGTAGTCGGTAGGAATAGTTGAACATGAAATGACAGTTACTCATCACAGTAGACTGTTTTTGAAATTCATTTACCTACTTTTTTTTTAACATTGATATTTTGCTGTCTCTTTCCTTTTTTTTTCCTGATTGATTGACGTTAATCCATATTATCCGTAAAAATCCCTCCTTTCTTTTCCACTTTCCGCTTCCTTTCTCAACAAATTGGCATATTTCATTTATTTCAATCCTTTTACATACATTCCATTGATATTCTCTTACTTATTCGTCCCACATTTACGTTTTTCCTTTGCAAATCCATCTATTTCCTATCATCTTTCATGTATTTTGTCCTGAGAAATCACGATTCATCCCATCCAAAGTTCGATAATTTATTCCGTCATTAATACAGCAAAATAGATAGAACGGATCTAATGCTTAATAAATCTCTCCATTAACCTATCTATGTTAAGTTACAATAATGATAAACGATGCATAACTTCATTTCCTAATATAATGATGGAGAGACTAGAGCATATTGTAATTTCAAGAGTGTAAAAATTGATTCGAAAATTTTAATTTCATATTGGACAAGAAAGCATTCTTGTACAATAAACTGAAAAGGAAATGACTGTAAATTCAAAAGATTCATCTGGTCTTATGACTGATTGGATTACATTCAACCTCCAATCACTGACTGACATGACAAGACAATCAAAATTTTGTGATATAAAGGGGTACAAATTCCTGAGCTGATTGGCATTCCATAAGAACAATAATTATTTCTTTCCATTTTTCTTATTACATTTCATTCAGTTTTCCTATTTTCTCTCTTTATCTGTTTCTCTCCCTCTCCCTCCCTCCCTTTCTCTCTTGAGAACGAATATTTCACTAATTAGTGATTAAATGTATGTTTCATGAAAGAAAACATATATTTTTATATGTAATTGCGGCAGAAGGCATTGCCACACTTGTATTCAAATGAAATTTTGTATTGCGTTAACTTAACCCAAAACTTTAATTTGAATTTTTAGTACTCTTATCAGTTTTCAAAAACGAAAAAAAATTTCTTTCCATTTTCAAAAGAAAATAATATATTTGAAGTGGTCATTAAGCCTTAAATTAAAATTTCCAATCTTCAGCGTTTTCTTGCTAGTTATTGTAGTCTTTTTAAATATTTTTCTCTTTTCCTTCGCAAAAAATTGCGAAATTTCTTGAAGAAGTATTACATTAGTAATAAAACAAGAGATAAAAAAGGAGGGAATAATAAAAATAATAATAATAATAATAATAATAATAATAATAATAATAATAATAATAATAATAATAATAAT